AATTTAGAGTGAAATCCTCTATGTATCATGAAAATGAGTACTTGATTCTTGAGTTAAAAACTGGATCAAGGAGAGTCTTTAAATTATTCTTTAAATGTGATAAATTTCTCATGTACTTACACAGATTTTTAAACGATATATTGATGTACAGAAAATACTTATATAAAGTTAATAATAAACACCAAGGGGTTAGGAAATTTAACAAAGCATTTGGGGTAAATCACGCTAATATGAGAGTATGCTGCCTAATGGATTATATTACAATTTTTACATATTAGAGAGCAGGAGCAAGAATAAGAAACTATGGCAGGAATAAAAGTAATATAATCCAATGTTTATGTTATAATGTCTGGGTTGAGAGATCAGTAGTTACATGCATGCCATTTTATGCATTATTACTCTCATATTTTCATAAGGAAAGTATATTGCTAGACATTAAGTATCTTTTTAAAATTTGTAAATTGCAAGCTTCAGAGTCAGAATTATTCCGTTCTTGATCTTACTAACTCTAGAGTCCATGAGAAATTATTAAATTAACATGATTGGATTATAACAATTACTTCTACAACCAAAGTAACTCACACAGATGGTGAAAATATATTTCTGGAAGTTTAAAATGACATTATTCTTCCATAAATGGTATGCACTTCTATTTATCCATTTTGATCATGTATTTTAGAAATGAAATCACTTTCAATACTATTGCATTAGCAATATATTTTTCAAATAGTTTAAAAATGATGTTTCCAATGTTTTTAGGTTGTGGATAAATTTATTGCATCATGTACTTCCTCTGAAGCACGTTTCCTTAAATATGTAACAATGTCTCAGAATCATCCACCCATTAATTAGTAAGAAATAGACCATATAATAAGATTTCATATTCTTTTAATAAATAAGCAAGTCAATAAATCAGGGTAATTTAATGTTACAAATTATTGTGTGCCAATTTTCCAATGCTCACTTCATTAGAGCATTCAGTCTTTAGACATTATTTTATAACAAACAACAAATCCTTAGTTGATTAATCATTTCCATTCTAATATAGCATTTTAATTTTAGA